GCAGCTGATTGGTGTTTCTAACTATCTATCCCTCTCCCTTCCTCTCTGTAAAAAATCAATAAAATATATATTAAAAAAAAGAAAGAAAAGAAACTCATCATCATTTAGTAGTACTTAATTTCCTGGTCTTCCCCAAACTGCCTGCTACCGTTTACTTTTCAGAGTCCTCACATAGCTTCTCCGTGCATTCCTTCCAAGTCGCATGGGCACATTCAGAGGGAGAGACAGGGTATAGTGTACTTCATCCATCCCATCTGGAATCAGAGTCCCCTCCTGGTTTTTTGTACTAGTGATGCCACATGTTTTCCTCCTATGGGATTTAAACCTCACAAGCTATAACAACCATTGTTTTAACAGTCAATATTATTTTACATTTTCCTTCAAATTTACCCTCCCCGGTGCTCACTCCTTCCGGTGATTCCATAAGACCATTTGGTATAATTTTCTTTCAGCCTAAAGAACTGACTTAATATTTATTTTCTTAGCTTTTGTTTGAAGGCATCTTTATTTTTTCTTCATTTTTGAAGGAGCTTTACAATGATTATAGAATTCCAGTTCTGCAGCATCCCCATTTGAAAGATGTTATTCTACTGTCGTCTGATTTCAGTAGTTTCTGCTTGTGTCTTTTTGTGCAGCTTTAATATTTTCTCTTTGTCTTTGTTTCTTATGGCTTCTATTTCCCTATTGAGACTCTCCATGTATTTGTTCACTGTGACTATATTTTCCTTGAAGTACCTGAACATAGTTATATGTTCAGTATATAAGAGCTACTTTAAAATTGCTTTCCTGACAGTTCCTACATCTGGGTCATCTCAGAGTCAGTTTCTTTTGACTGCTTGCTCTTGAGTATGGGTCACATTTTTCAGGTTTTTCATCTGCCTATTAATTTTTTATTGTATGCTTGAGATTATAAATGATACAAGGTCATCTTAACTTAATGGACGTTGGTTTTTATTCTTGGCCTGTCTGTTTTTATGCAAAGTCATGACCCTTACTTTAGAGGGATGGCCTTTCTAGCATCTCAGTTGAATGTCTGAAGTGCACAATGGGGCCTCTCGACCCTGCTAAGCTGGAACTCCAACATCTCTCAACACTGCATGCCATGCAGCAGGCAATCTGTGCTAGACCTTGTGGAGTCTTGTTATATCTATACTAGAGGCCTGATGCACAAAATTCATGCAAGGGGCTCGGCCCTCGCAGCCCCTCACAGCCCCAGCTTCATCCGGAAGGTCGTTCTGCTGTTTGGTCTAATTAGCATATTAGCTCTTTATTATATAGGATTCAGTCCAGCTTTTGTCCATGGCAAATCTCCATGTAGACTTGTGGAACTTCCCTTTTCACAGCTACCTATTTTCAGGTATGCTACCCTGCTAACTTCAGCCACTTCAACAGTGCAAAACTCTAATCTCGTCCTCCTTAACTGAGTCTGTTGCTGTGCTTGGATTCCGCTTCTTGCAGCCCAGGAAAAGTACGCTTCCGCAGAAAAACCAGGACAATTATGAGAAAGTTGTGGAACACACTTCATGTGGTTCCCTTCTCTAGAGGATCACAGCTGTGTTTCCTACCGATCCCTGAAAAAATCTGCCTCCTCTAGTTTTGTCCAGTCTTAGAGGTTATTTTACTAGGGGAATAAATCATGCTAGAAGTAACTTTTTGGTGCACATTAATTTAAATGCACATTGAGATTTAAATCACTGAAAATAGAACTTTTCCTAAAAACAATTTCTGACAAAGAATAGGTAAGAGTGCTTAATTAAATTTCAGGAGTGACTGAAGGGGAAAGGGAGCAATGTTTTTGTTTTTTTGTTAATCCTCACCCACGGATATTTTTCCATTGATTTTGAGAGACAGGGTGGAAGGGAGGGGTAGAGATAGAGAGAGAAACATCGATGTGAGAGACACACATTGATTGGTTGCCTCCTGCACATGCCTGACCAGAGCCCGGGATTGAGCCTGCAACCGAGGTATGAGGTACTTGCCCTTGATCAGAACCATACCCGGGACCCTTCAGTCCGCAGACCAACGCTCTATTCACTGAGCCAAACCAGCGGGAATAATGTTTTAAGAGCATTGCAGACAAACTTCAAATTTCAAACTTAACCTATATTGTTATGTATCTGATACTCTTAGATGAAAGTACAAAAGGTACATATTTTTTTCTTTCCCATCTTTGACCTGTCCTGTTAATACACAAAGTTCACTGAAGCTAGGTTGGAGACACTTGAACTTTGAATCATTGGTTGGGGAGTAGCTAAATTAGGAGACACTGCCTTAAGTTCAGACTGAAAGGCTATTTGGTTTTAGAAGTGACTCTCCATTTTTAAAGGGTGGAGATGGTTTGGTAGTAAATTAGTTCTCTCTCTCCGCCCTGGGAGATTAGACAAACAATGGATCTAACTAAGAAAATAGACTGACTCATTTGGCTACAATGCTATACTGAAGTTACAAGCAAACTAACATTATTCGTCAGAAAAAGAATTGGGTTCTGTATACTGTAATTGAGTTTCACAGTCAATTCTGATATTTCTCATTGAAGAAACAAAAAAAAAATATCAGACATTCAATTCATAGATCTAAAGGCACTCTTAACCCTGTCTTTCCTTACCTCATCATCTGCTATAGCAAGGCTGAAGTCATGTGCAATTTACTTCATTATTTATTAGCTCTTCTTTGGGATGGCAGTTCTTATTGCAAGAGAACTGAAGTTTGCAATCACCCTCTTTCCTCCTAATTTTCGTGAGCATTTCCAAACTTCTTCTAATAGTAAACACCCTATCTTCCAAGTGAACGGTCCATCAAGAGAACAGGTACAGATGAGAGTGGAAAGTCGGGCCTGTTGGGCAGGCAAGGAAGTTGTATGGAGCTAATAATGGGTCGTAGGTGAAAAGGGGTGGAGAATGGGAGGGAAATGGAATCACAGGTCTGGCCGGGACTGCCTCTGGACAGGTCAGGAAGGGGTGTTTGTGTGGGCCGTTTCTCACATCTGGATTTAGCTTCTCATTAACAGAAATGTTCAGCCTTTTGCCTTTCACCAAGCCTTACTTCCTCCCTTCAAGCCCTGTGTTACTTCTCCTCCTGCCCCAGGATGAAGGCCTTTGGGCTGGATTTCATTGGTTTGGGGGAATGGGCCATTCTCCTTCCAGGAGGTCTGGTTCAGGTTTAGGTCATTCCATTGGCCTCACTAGCAACTGAAGGGCAGATCTCCTGGCCAATGGACAACTTCCCTGCCTGGGCAGAGAGACAAGGCCTCCCAGCTGATGGTCACACTCCACATGTCCAACTCCCCTTAGCTGCGAGGACACCATATGCTGAGGTGGGTTGAGGAGCGTTTTAGGTGGCTTCAGGTCTCCTTGTCCATGAGTGAAACACAACTGCCTACATTTTCCAACATCCACACCCGCACCCCTGCATTGTTCACTGAGAAGCAGTATGTTGGCGTCTCATGGTTCCTCTGGGGCCACCCACCTCTTCTACATGTGTCCCAAGTGCCTGGATTTCCCTGTGAGAGGCTGCGGGCAAAGGTGGGTGGAATGAAATTGTAGCTTATTCTTCTGCTGCACCCAGGAGAGATGCTTGTGAACATGGGCATGGAGGTAAATGCCGATATCGGTTGCTGTTGGGTGCCTTGCACACCGCGTCCCCTCCGTCCCCTCCCACGCGCTGGGAGAAGAAGCGCACGGCCCCTCTCTCGCGACCTGCGCAGCCCGACCCGAACTTCCCAGGGTCATGGCCCGCGATACCGCGGCGCGGCCTGGCTCCGAGCCCTGCTCTTCCCGAGTCGTGGGTGGCGCGGGGCTGGTTTCCCTCCCCTCCCTTTCCGGACCCAAACCGGGATGTATCTGGGTCAGCCTGGGAGGGGCCGGACCTGCCAGGGCCCGGCGGGGGGAACGGGGTGGCGATGACAGCATCTTTCAGGTTTTTGGCGTTTCTGAGCTGCGCTCCTTCCAGCCGCTCACCGCTCTCCCTCCCGGAGGGACTGCCGCTCTGGCCGAGGACTGGGCGGGCGGGGGGGAGAGCCGGCTCTTTCCAGCCGGAGGGTCACCCCTCCACGCCTGGCGAACCATGTGGCGCTCCCCCCTCCCCAAACTCCGGGTTCCCCAGGGCACACGCCCCGCGGGCGGCGGGCTCCCGCCCCAGGAAAAGAGCTTTGGAACAGTTCACCGACGCCCGAGTTCCTGGTCTTCCTTTCCGGTGATAAACGGCGGGGCTGCGAGCCAATTGCTGCTCAAGATGCTCCACCCGCAGCCCGTGCCTCTCTCTGGGCTCGGCGGGGGCGCACATCCAGGACAGAGCAGGTCCCCTCCCCGCTGCAAACTCCAGGGCTGAGCGCCAGGACCGAGGGCGGCACGACCCGGGGGGTCTTCGCTGCCGGGTCCCTCCCCCGGGATCTGGGCGCTCCCGCGGCGCCTGGAAGAGCTGGGTGTGCGTCAAAACCGCATCTTCCCCGGACACGTTGGCCGACGACGCCTCGGTGAGGTCGGGAGGGTCACGGACCTTCGCGGCCCCCCTCCCTGCGAGCTCCGCGTATAAGCCCAGCGCCAGCAATCAAGGCCACACGCCTCCATCTCCCCGAGGCCCGGCCCCTCCCTCCCCATCCCTGCCCTGCAAAGACCCCACATTTCCAAGTGGAGGGAAAGCAAGGAGTTGAAAACCGTCTCCGGTTCCTGCGCTCTGCACACAGTTATCTCCGCGTCCCCTCCCTCGACTCCCCACGTCGCACGCTCCGGAACTCGGATCTGCAGGAGGGGGCCTCGCCTGCCCTGGACGCGCGTGCGGCGGGAGCCCACGGATGCGCTTTGGCTGGGAGCTTCCCGAGAGCTACCTGCCTCCGCGGCGCTCGAGGCCACACGGAGGTGCTCCTCCTGCCCCGCCTCATCTCGCCCACAGACATCTCTTGCCATCATTTCATCGTCTGTTGGATAAACCCCGCGCCCCTCCCCGCCGGCGCCAGCGCAGCGCCCCCTCCCTCGGCTTCGGCTTCGCCGGGGCGGGCGGGGAGCGAGCGCACTGGGCGCGGGAGGCGCGCAGAGCTCTCGGCCGCTGCGCTCGCGGCGCCTGGGGAATTGGGCTGTGGGCGAGGCGGCCGGGTTGGCCTTTATCGCTCGCCCGGCTCGTCCTCGGAAACTTTATCAGCGAGTCTCGCCACTCGCTGCAGACCGAGCGTGGGGGGCGGGGGCGCGGCGCGGCGCTGGCGGCGGTGACCAGGCGCTCCCGGGGCTGAGCGCCTCTGCTCGGGGCACGCATGGCGCCCGCACACGGAGTCTGACCTGATGCGGACGCAAGGGGGTTAATATGAACGGCCCTCTCGGTGGAATCTGGCTCTGGCTCCCTCTGCTCTTGACCTGGCTCAGGCCTGAGGTCAGCTCTTCATGGTGGTAAGTCCACGCAGCCCGGCCCGGGAGGGAGGCGGGTTTTCCATGTGGGAACGGGGACCGCACTGGCCACAGGAACCCTTGCCCGCGGCGGTTCTCCGCGGGTTCCAGGCGCAGCCCTGGCTGCTGCCCTCTCCCAGTGCCCTTATCCCGAGTCCCTTCGCTTTTCCTCTGAAGACCATCCCAACTTTGACAACTAAAAAAATAAAATTAAATAAATAAAAAAAAAGAAGAAAAAAAAAAACCACCCACATTCCCCCTCAAATGGGAGCTCTGATTCTGATATTTGGGTTATTTGGATCCAGCTGATAAACAGCAAAATCAGCCAGTTTCTTATCCCATTAGACGTGTGTGTGTGTGTGTGTGTGTGTGTGTGTATGTATATATGTGTGTGTGTATATATATGTATGTGTGTATGTGTATGTATATGTGTGTGTGTATATATATATGTATGTGTGTGTGTGTGTGTTGACTCTGAAAACTACAATTGTCCCCCTGCCACTCCCCCATCCCCCATCCCCCCCAAAAGAAAACCTCTAGACAAACCTAGGGGCCATTCAGGCAGGCAGTCAGGAGCTGCGGAGCCCAGAGCATGTGATTTCGCACCATTTCCCGTCCTTCCACATTCCTAGTGCTTCTCCCCGTGGGTGGGAAGCACGCTGTGCTGCTGCCTCCAGGTAGAGACTGCCGCCTCCCCGGGAGCGCGGGGCTGCGGGTGGGAGGTGGGGGGCTCCCGGAGGAACCGTGCTGCTGTCCTTTGCACGCGGATCTGCGACTTATGTATTTATTTTGCACCGTGACCCTAACAGGTCTTAGCCACCTCACAAAGGGAGCTTTTCTGCCCACCCAGACACTCTTGTACATCTTCCTACCTAATGATCTGGAAAGGAGGGAATTGGGAGCTCTTTGGCGTCCTTGCACCTAGGACTTCCCAACAGACACTAAAATACTGATTCAGAAAGACCTGCTACCTGGTCTTTATCTAACGTAAGGAGTCTTGGCTAAAGGCCAAAAGGACGAGGGCAGGGAACTCCGGAGACGCTGGAGCCCTCCGAGGAGCATGGCAGAGCCTGATGGGGAGGGGGTTCAAGTCCCCCTTCAGCCACTTTGGATGGGAAGGCGTTTAGCCTTGACATTGCTGACACGGGATCAAAGATTGATTTATCAGAATGACCATTTTTTCAATAAAATGATATTTCTGTTTCCGTGGTTAAACATTTATTGCCCAGTCTTTTTGTCACTTTGTCTCTCAGCTGTCACTTAAATATGCTTTTTTGGAAATCACAGCTCTAATGATTTTATGATCATATAAAGTAGTGAAAATGCAAGAAAAGACATTCTCCTTGTTTGATGGCTTCAAAAGACACCTATGGCAGCTTTGGTTATATAAAAGGTACCTTTTCTAAACATTTCACAACTAATAGAGAACATCTGGGCAGAGATGATGATGTAATTTTTTTTGTTAAAGTTTCTTTTCAAAAGTACTTTATGGAGCTATAATACTGTTTGATTCTTCCAAACATTTAGTGTCCTTAATAACAATAGAAAGAACTATTTCCAAAGGTTCTCTGTAAAGGCCAAGAAGAGCTGGAAAATGGAAATATTTAAAGGATTCGAAAGAACGGCATGTCTGTGAGGAGAGTGCAACATCAGATACCAGCAGGTGTCGATTAGACAGATACAGACAGTTTCTTAACATACTTAAACATTCGGGTCAAATAAATGTGAGCGAGAAGCTTTAAAGGTCGGCTTCCCCCAACGCCAAGTCCAGACACATTTCATCACTGAGATCAGAGCCTTCTTGGGAACAGTCTTTGAAGGCTCTTCCCAAAAGATGTTGCCCCTCCCTGCTCACTCTGTTCCCTGACCGCCCAGAGCGTCATCTGCTGGCCCTGGATTCATGTCCAAGACCAGCCATCGCTCCACTTTGGGGTGGCTTCTACCAGGTTTCTTCTCATGCCTGCTGTGCTGCTTCTCCATGGAACTAAAATTAAATAACCTTTGCTTTGCCATATCCCTAAAAGGATAAGGAATTCATCTTTGAAACAACGCTTTGAACTCAGTCTCCCAGGAAACATTGTGGCTTCGGGCCTCAATGTCAGTGTTCTCACCTCTGTGTTGGCCCTTCCCAGGTACATGAGAGCTACAGGCGGCGCCTCCAGGGTGATGTGTGACAATGTGCCAGGCCTGGTGAGCCGCCAGCGGCAGCTGTGCCACCGACACCCAGACGTGATGCGTGCCATTGGCCTGGGCGTGGCAGAGTGGACAACGGAGTGCCAGCACCAATTCCGCCAGCACCGCTGGAACTGCAACACCCTGGACAGGGACCACAGCCTCTTCGGCAGGGTCCTGCTCCGAAGTAAGTCCCCTGCCTCCAGGCCCCTCCTCGGGCGCTCCCCTCACACACTCCCACCTTTATTTGGTCTTTGAAGTCCCTGCTCATCTTTTCCGTGCATTTTATTCAGTTGGAAGCTTGTTCTGTTGGGGGCATTGGCCCTGTTTTACAGATGAGGACTTAAGAAATCAAGGACCTTGCCTAAAGTTGTGTGGGAGGCTAGTCCTAGATTAGAATGTAGACCCCAGGCTGACGTCTTAGACCTCTTTGCTCTATCTGTTGCTGGAGGAATTAGTGGACCAGATTTCTCAGACACGAGTGAGCGTGAGGTTCTTGGGGTACCACTGAAATAAGAATTTTCAGAAGCCCACCTGGGAGAATGAGATGTAGAAAAAGACTGTTTGCATGGAGTTACATCCCTCGGGTTTCAATGTCCCATGTCCCTTAACCCAGCCCTGAAAGAGGGGCAGCTGGGGGACCCAGAGCTCCATTCCATGTTGCAGCTGGGCCCAGCTCAGCATTCAGGCTAATGCAAGTCCATCAGTCCATTGTGTGGGTCCCACATGGCCATGGGCCGCGTGGGCACAGCGGAGCCCCTGCAGCCGGAGAGCCAGGAGCCCCGTCCGTAAGAGCCAAGAGAGTAAAAACCAAGAGAGCTTGCTCCTTTGTTCAGACGTTTAAATATTCAGGTTTCCAGCCCTTGCAGTGGCCACACCTATTCTGGCCGCTAATTTGTTCCCAGGTGTGACTGACACACAGGTAGGCACCTTCCACGTCACTGGGACCATACTGGGCATGCGTCTGTTGTCCAGTCAGTGGGGAGCAGACTTGGAAAGTGTGAAATTAGCAAAGCTGTACAAATGGCATGCCTATATCATCTAGTCTTCCCTTTACTCCTTTCCTGTTAATAATAACCAGATTATTGCCACAGTATCATATCCATGTCATGTCACACCCCTTCCTGTTCCTCCAGGTTCAGATTTTGTCTCTAGGAGAAAGGAGGCAGCAGCCACCGGGCTTTTGTTCTTTTTTAAAAAAAATATATTTTATTGATTTTTTTGCAGAGAGGAAGGGAGAGGGATAGAGAGTTAGAAACATTGATGATAGAGAAACATCGATCAGCTGCCTCCTGCACACCCCCTTCTGGGGATGTGCCCGCAACCAAGGTACATGCCCTTTACCAGAATTGAACCTGAGACCCTTCAGTTTGCAGGCTGACGCTCTATCCACTGAGCAAAACCAGTTAGGGCCCACAGGGCTTTCTTGACTTCTTTACTTGCACCTTCCAGAGGATTTGAGCAGAAGATGAGGATGGAGTGCTCAAATCTTTTATTGGCCATAAATGGCTATTATTACAATAATGTATAAATGTAATTAAAAAGCAGAGACAAATCTCTGCTCACACCTTTGACCTCCCATTCAGCTATTCAGTGTTGGGTCACCCTATATCTAAATTAAACTTTTATTTTCCAAGTAGACTGTAAATTCTATAAGGTCAGACTAGCCTGCCTTCTCTGCATCTCACTTGATGCTTTGTGTGTTGCAGACATCATTCATTCATTGAACAGTTGAGTGAATGAATGGATGAGCTTGTAGTGAACACCTATTATTTCCCAGGTACACTTGAGGCAGAAGGGTATTTATGGAGGGTAGGAGTGTGAACCATGATTACATAGTTGGGTTGTTTTTGTTTTGTGTGTGCGTGTTTTTTCACTCAGGAGCATTAAACTTCATATAATTGCCTGGCGGGCGTGGTTCAGTGGTTGAGTATCAACCTATGAACCAGAAGATCAAGGTTCGATTCCTGGCTAGGGACATGCCCGGGTTGCGGGCTCGATCCCCCAGTGTTAGGTGTGCATGAGGCCACTGATCAATGATTCTCTCTCATCAATGATGTTTCTCTCACTCCCTCTCCCTGCCTCTTTGAAATCAATAAAAAAATTTTTTTAAACCCATTAACATTATATAATTGCATGCATAAAAAACTTTTTAACGTCCTGAATGTGGAAAGTAGCTCACGAGCTGGTATAAAGAGAAAATTAACTGCAAATCACATTTTATTTTTTTAAAAAAATTGTTCCTTAACCTGGTGTTATAAGCATTTTCCAAGAAATAGCACAGTCCATTTGCTACTGGGAAATCTGACTGAAAACACAAAAGTTTTGTGTGAACCCCAGAAACAGGAAACTTTACACTTGTTTTTGCCCACCCCACCCCCCATTCCTAAGGAAATCATCCAGGCTGTACACTTGGTAATGCTTAACAGAGGGTGTTTCTATCTTGTAATCATCACAGCCCCGGGGTTTTATGAGGCCAAATGCATAACTGAATGTCTCTGAAATCCCCCCAGGGCGTAGTGCACTCACTCTCAGTGTATCCCTCAAGGAAATTTATGGCCAAATTCTGCAATTTTATTCTCTAGCTTAAGAACTATATTCTTCTGCATTCCTCTTGGAGTTTTGATATGACATCGCACATTTTTGAAAGGCTAATAGTAAATTTCAGCAACATGGAATTTTCAGACTTCACCTAGATTAGCTCACTAGTGAATCAATTAAAGTGCCGGAACTTGTCAAAGAAAGTTTGCAAATATTTATTAGCACAAGATACCTTTGGACAAGTTATGCAAGGCTCTCGGTGTTTAAGATACATCAGGGTTTTTCCTTTTCAAAGTGCTCACAAGCATTTCCCAATGATTTCAAATTAAATGTCCTTCTCATTTATAGAAATGATTGCCTCTAAATTCTGTCTATGAAAATCTGTTAAGATGTCTCTATATTGAAGAAAATCTTTAGATCACAAATCAAAGGACCTAATTTTGACCACTAATCCTCAAGGCCTGCCAAAGCTGGGAGTTCATTCATAAAATGCTTTAATTTAATCTTGACAGTGTTTGTTTCTTCAGAGCAGTGGAGTGCTGAGAAGGAAGAGGTTGGAACTAGTTTGACTTAGTCTAAGGCCTCAAGTAAATAAGAGATTCTAACTTGTATTTCCTTCAGAGTTCTTTCAGATGAAGCTTGAATGCTTTGCCAAGTACTCAAAACTTAAAACACCCAAGCTACACAATTTCTTTCCATTCTTCATAGAAGGCCAGATTTCTTCCTGGACATTTATGTAAACTCCTGTGACTGTCAGTGATGATTTTGCGTTGATTCTGGGAGGGCTGAATTTGGCCTAAGGTAGTTTATCCTGGAAATCATCATGAAATTCCAGTAAAGCCTTCCAAAAATTTTTATAATTAATTGCTTGGAGGGAAATTCACATCTTAGAATTGTGAAGAACTTCCTTTGGAAACCTAAATGTGTCCTTATAGATGACTAGGAAGGCAAAGGGCGATGCCATTTATAGAAAGAACATAAAAGTTACTAACACATCCCAGGGTCATAGAGAGATGGAGAACATTTGCCTCTTTTGCTTCAGCCAGCTTAGAGTAAGACACCCATTTTTTGTAACATTTGCATTTCACTCATTCAACAAACTATCGCTAGTCACAGGCTGAGAAACTTAAATCCATATATCCCTGCAAGAATATACCTCTAGAGTTCTTGAATGAACCTCTAAAAGGTCATTAGGTCTCATCCTTGTAAATGTAAAAAATAAAAATAAAAAAAGTTTAAAAAGCAAGCATTTCCAAAGAGTTGAACCCATAACTTTCCAACAAGCCTAGCTTCTAGTGTTCTGCTCTACCAGGTAACAATCCCTAACTGCAAACAAAAACTATGCTTATGCACTTAGGATAGACATCGTCTGACTTATCTCAACCCCAAAATTAGAGAAACGAATAGTAACACATCAGGAAGTCTAAATATCACTATTTCGATTTGGATTTTATTTCATATTATGATGGCTTTAAAAAGAATTCGTTTTTCTAAGAAGAGCCCCAAGGTCAAAATTTGTTTTGTTAGAAAGCCAACTCTTGAAATGTGCTACTATTTCACACATAGCATTTTAGTGATTCATCTAAGACACTTAACTGAAAACATCTTAAGGCCACATCTAACATGATACCAAAACATCTGGAGGTAAAATGCAAAATCAGTCCCCATGCTACATTTTTAGTTAAATAAATAAACATCTCTCTATTTAGTAATGTGCTTGAATAATAAGTAAGGTATTTTTGCTTTAGAAATTATTTCTGAAAGGCAGCAGATTTTAAGTGATTTTTTTCTTTCAGCCAACAGGTCGATGCAATTGTACCTTAAGCCAGGATGACCGCTTGCCTAGACAATTTATTTCTCTACAGCTTTCAAATTACTGTCTGGCCACTGGCATTCTATCATTGAGATCGTCCATATTTTCCCCCTAAAAGACCACCTCATAAAATTTCTCTTCGTTCTCAGTAAAAAAAAAAAAATAAGAGTAGTGCTAAGTACCTTAAGCACTTGGGAATTTCCCCTCTATGTGATATCTCTAACTGTGGACACTGAACTCCAATCCAAAACCAGACTTTAGCAGCTCAGTGGGGTAACTAATGACAAGGCGTTTTCCTAAACTGTAAAATGGGTATAATAAAAATCTCATTTATCTGAGAGCCACAACCTGAGAGTAAACCACATTAACTTCAGTTAGTCACCATCTTTTATAAAACAACTCAATTCCACTTAGAAAATCTGTAATCCTTCTAACCTGGGACTCTGAAACAGCCCTTGTGACCATCACATTTTCCTCTTGAGACCACCACCTGCTACCTATAGCAAATATTCATATAATTGATTTTACCTAACTACAGAGCATGACTGATTTCTTTTTATGATGGCTAAAGATTTGGGGGCAGATATTTTTGGAGGGCTGAGGTAAGTGCCATTTAATATGGTGTAGATACGTTTTCCTGATTTTTAATAATGAGACTAGCAGAGTAAAGATTGCAAAGGGCATTATATAATGTACACAATAAATTTTAGCGCCGAATGACAGACAGAACCAAGCAGGGCTCTGATGCGGAAAGGTGGTTTGTTCTCCCAGCTGTGTGGTTCAAAAAGTCACACTCGTCTTGACATACTGGATCGCCAAATGGCTCTGTTTTCTGCTGCATTGGCAGGAGGCGGTTCAGCCTGTATTTTGATTGTTAATATATTTGCTGCAGCAACCATTAATAAAAAGGCGTGCTAATAACAATGAAATACAGCTCCCCTTGAAAAATGAGGTGTACACAGACCCTAAAGAGCCTTATATCTGTCACTGTACCACAACACTGTGTCATGAGTTACTACAGATTATTAAAATAATTTAATGTAGTTATTGCACTGAAATATGTACCTTTCAGCCTGCAAGTGAAAGTAGCCTGTGTGCTAATAAAGAACAATTCTAAGAAATCACCCCAAAGGGTCCTTGCCCCAGTGTAATTATAGGCGGTAAATTTGTTTCCTTCCAGAGAAACCAACGGAAAGCTTTCTACTGTCTTTTACCCAATACCAGTGACTAGTGCAGGTGTTCCAGAAGAAAGTAAATTCACCGTCATAGTTAGACGTAGTCTGTAACTAGGATATTGCATATTGCCTTCAACAATCTCCCAATTACAAGTGAAAATCGATGCCACGCCAGCGCTCTCCAGTGTTAGCGCTGGGGGCTGGTCACTGCCTAGAATTCTCTTCCCACCTCGGCCCCTAGATTTTTTTTTTTTAATTCGGAATTTCAGTCTGAAATATTAAATGTATACAAGTGCCCTCAGAAATGCCTAGAGGCTTGGCAGGTGTGTTGTTTTTATTTCAAGGTTTTATTCATGGGGTATCATGGAATAGCCAAGATCTATTATGTAATGAAAGAACTGTAGAATTCGGACTGTATGTACAGATGAAAAAACAAAAATGTTCCTCTCCTCTCGTCTCGAACATGGAGGGTTCTGGGTTAAGCAAGCGCGTGTATGAGACTGACGTGAATTCGGGAGCTGGGCAAGGCAGGCTTTCACTGTACTTTCTTTTCCTCTCTGTTTACCTTAAGGACAGTTGTCATACAGGCATCTAAATTAATAACAGCTGCCCTAACCGGTTTGGCTCAGTGGATAGAGCGTCGGCCTGCGGACTCAAGGGTCCCGGGTTCGATTCCGGCCAAGGGCATGTACCTTGGTTGTGCGCACATACCCAGTAGGGAGTGTGCAGGAGGCAGCTGATCGATGTTTCTCTCTCATTGATGTTTCTAACTCTCTATCCCTTCCCCTTCCTCTCTGTAAAAAATCAATAAAATATATTTTAAAAAAATAAATTAATAACAGCTTATATTCGATGGTGATTCCTTTTAAGGAGCGAGGCTTGGCTCTAGAAAAGAATCCTTCAAGATGATCAGTCCCCTTTTGCCTAGTGTTGTAGTCTGTCCGAGGTAGAGCAAAGACTAACCAGCCCTCATCTGAACATCATTCAAAACTAGCAACTCCAGGCCGCTTTTAAGAAACGCATTTTTGTTTCAGGTAGTCGGGAATCTGCCTTTGTTTACGCCATCTCCTCAGCTGGAGTTGTATTTGCCATCACCAGGGCCTGTAGCCAAGGAGAATTAAAATCCTGTTCCTGTGATCCAAAGAAGAAGGGCAGTTCCAAGGACACCAGGGGCACCTTCGACTGGGGCGGCTGCAGTGATAACATTGACTATGGGATCAAGTTTGCCCGCGCGTTCGTGGATGCCAAGGAGCGGAAAGGCAAGGACGCCAGAGCCCTGATGAACCTGCACAACAACAGGGCTGGCAGGAAGGTAGGGCTGCGCGCTGCTCCCGGTGTGGGCTGCATGGCCTTACCGTCACTTAAGCTGAGCTGATCTTACACTTTCCTAGAGATGATAAAATGCACAGTCACGCATTCCCACTGTCCCCCAGCCCCAAGCTGTTTATTCTAAAGAATACCACAGCCCTAACCGGTTTGGCTTAGTGGATAGAGCATCGACCTGGGGACTGAAAGGTCCCAAGTTCGATTCCGGTCAAGGGCATGTACCTTGGTTGCGGGCACATCCCCAATAGGAGGTGTGCAGGAGGCAGCTGATCGATGTTTCTAACTCTCTATCCCTCTCACTTCCTCTCTGTAAAAAAATCAATAAAATATATTTTTAAAAAAAGAATACCACAGACTGGCCCTGGCCAGTGTGTTCAGTGGTTAGAGCACCAGCCTGTGCACCGAGGGGCCTCAGGTTCAATTCCCAGTCAAGGGCAATACCTGGGTTATAGGTTTAATCCCCAGACAACCAATCTATGTCTCTCTCACATCGATGTCTCTCTCTCTCCACTCTCCCTCCCTCCCTTTTTCACTGGCTTTAAAAGCAATGGAAAAAATATTCTCGGGTGAAGATTAACAAAAACAAAAACAAAAGAATACCACAGACTGGGTTGAAATACCTCACCCATGCTCCACCTTTCTTCCAACAGCTGAGCTGAAGTAGTCCACCCATTGCTTTTGGCATTGTGTAGAGTCAAGTGTTTTATGGTCCCTCTGGATACTGTGTCATTGACAGAAGGTATAATCTGTGGGTAAGCCTAGCTAGTGCTTCATCCCACACACCAATGGGACCTTGAGTGCTTGTAGTTAAAGGATATCAAGACCCAGAACATCTTCTCTCAAACATATCATGAAAGCAACTCACCATGAAAGCAACTTGACTGGCTTCTTTGGGAGTCAGGGATGCTATTTTTAGAACCAGACTTCCCTTGGGATTTCTGCTACTGGAGGAGTAAGTAGACTGAGGGAGGACATGGCCCAAAGGGGTACTCTATCCCTTATCTTCTACCCTTACTAACCTCCTGAGCTGTGACTTCACTGGCCAGTATTGACTCTCTACCTCCCTTTTATTAGATGAGGACATAGGCCCTCAGGTGCTCAAGGTCACATGGAGAATCGGTAGAAAACTCAAGACTAGAACTCAGCTTTCAACTGCTAGACGAGGGGTTTTCTGGCCTAGGATGAAGCCATTAAAACAGCGGTTCTCAACCTGTGGGTCGCGACCCCTTTGGGGGTTGAACGACCCTTTCACAGGAGTCGCCTAAGACCATCGGAAAACACATATATAATTACATATTGTTTTTGTGATTAATCACTATGCTTTAATTATGTTCAATTTGTAACAATGAAATTGGGGGTCACCACAACATGAGGAACTGTATTAAAGGGTCGCGGCATTAGGAAGGTTGAGAACCACTGCATTAAAAGGACAGTGTTTGAATCCATTGCTATGCCATGTCTTTCGGCACGGTGGCATGACCAGCATAACATTGTGCCATTGGTAAAAAGCATCCACTGGCTGGGGTAATGAAATATTTAGTCAGATTAATCAAGGCCTAAAATATGTAAAGTGTGAGAAGCACACTAATCTTGTATATAGATCAGAAATTTATTTTCATATATTTATAATACTTATTTTCACACAGATACAACCGCACTTGTATGATTAGATAAGATATACATTTCCAGCATTCTAGAAAGTCCCTTGCAGCCTCGTCCCAGGAATCAACCACAGGTGACTTCCATTGTCCTGTTTCCATTTTTTGCCATTGTGAATATAGCTAGTATCATTCTAATTGCATGAAAAACAAATAGTTAGGGCCATCCGAGAATAATCGGATTGCCAGTGAGAAGAGATGAACATAATTTGTCATTTGTCAACATAAAATTAAAATGTGCTTGATATTGATATATAAAGAAAGATCCGCATACAATTGAAAGGTCTGGGGGGGGTGGTCTTTAACATAAAAAAGAATTAAAAAATGCGGATCTGTTTGGATGAAAACTGTCTTATTACACTCACAGAGAGACCAAATGTCATTTAACAGGAGTTGAAAGGAAAGAACTCTTGCTTAGTACAAGGAATAAGATGAGTGTGACCTGAACTGTTTACAAATAGTACCTTTCTTGAACTTTAAAAGTCAACATTCCTTATGTTCATGAATTTATTAATTTATAGTGACTACTGCCAAAAAATATAGGCTGTGGTTGTGCAATCCTACGACTGTTGGTAATGACTGTTTGTGCAATAGTTTGGAGAGAGGACGATGTACAGTGACTTTGTTTTGACGTTGATACCGCCTGCATAAGTGATAAAGGGTGGTGTCTTTGATAGGAGTGTGCTGCTTAATTACTCAAGCAGGAAATATCGTCAGATCTCTCAGATTACAGATAAAGGCCCATGGTCACACACTGTATCCAAAAGCATGTTGACTCGTCGAAATAAATATTCATTGTGCTAAAGAGTTCATTAGATATCGAATGCCTCGGGTCTTTAGGACAGCAGATCTGGGCTATTATCTTGGAGGCCCTGAAGAAACATGACTTGTAATGTAAATCACATGATGCCTCACTGTGCAGAGGTGAACAGCTGTCAGGCCTCAGATAGTCTCCTGCCTACTCTGCAGAACTGAGGAGGCTACTTTTGATTGGAATAAAAGTGCACACGCTGACTTTTTAAAATGTGGCTTTAATTAATGGTGGGTGGGCAGACTTTTTCAAGGAGATGCATGATGTCAGTGAGTATGAACTTTAATGAGAGTGAATGCATTGAGATAAACATGCGTCTCTAATTCTCTCCTTGCCGTCGTTAGACCCCCCACTCCCGACTCCCCCTTCGTACAAGCAGAAGGTCTGTGGAATCAAAATGAGAACAGGCTGGGCTTGTGTGGAAGACAGGCCTCCTGAGTTAAACCTCCAACAGGCCTGGTTCTAGAAAACCCCACCACCCAGGGCTGACCACAACATTAGTTCCGTTCTATTTCTTCTTTGTGCTTTTCTGTATTTCCCCAATTGTCTAATATGAATATCTTATACTTTTTAAAATTGTGGTGGTGGTGGTGGGGGGCAATAGGGAGGACCAATACACTTTATTTAAAAGAAAACACATCTATTCCAATATGATTCTGTTTAGCCAATGCTATAAGTCGTAATTCAACACTGCCATTCACAAAAGACCTTAATTTTCCCCTAATATTTGAGCAGTTTAATTCACTTATTATAACAGCTGGTTAGAGCACCCTCATGTGTCTTTGTATGGTAATATCATTTTAGATCTGCGGTGCGACTGTATCATTTTACTCACCGCTTCAGCAGAATTTGTGATGGTGTTTCTTTCCTTTATATTGACTTGAAACTCATCCTTGATGGAGCCTTGTTTTCTACTTCCAAAGAGTCCTAGAAAGATAAATTTACCTTGTTCAACACAAACTTTCTATCCAGAAAGACACCCCACAGCTCCTCTCAGTGGCTCTTTTTAGGGGTAGAGAAGCCGTGTGATGAAAACCTTTGAGTTACATTTTAGGATAAGGGGAGGTGAATTACAAGCACAAGTGACTTGATCAATAGTCACCATTTGTTCCCTTTTGGGGTTGAAAATGGCTTTTAAATTAGTCCACTCTTTCCTTAATATGAAATAATCACAACTTCTTTTACCTTTCAAGAGAGAATATATATCAAAATCATGTATCCAGCAAAATTCTGCCTTTTAATCACTGGACATTTCTATAATAAGATTAAGAGGAATTCCATAAAAAATACTTTCCCTAAAAGGTATCTCTTACTATGGTAAAGATAGTACATGGGGTTTGAAATGAGACCCACATTAGCCTTAGCCGTGCAATACCAGTGGCTTCGCTCACTGAATTTCAGGTTCTGTCATGTGTAAAAGTGTATTATATGGTGCTCCAGGAAGACAGGCATAAGGCAAAGAGCAGAGAACCTGGTACGTAGTAGGTGCTCCATAAAAGTTCGTTCCTTTCCCTTTCGTGAAGTTATCTGTAACTTAGGTAATAGAGATAGGCACAAATTCAATTTGAACTATTACTTAGTTCACATTGAACTATTCAGTCTGATCACTACAGGTATCCACAGACTCATCTTTGGTTTAGTTTAACATCCTAATAAAAAAAAAACAGGCACATAGGTCCTGGCTGGGTAGTTCAGTTGGTTAGAGCATTGTCCCGATATACCAAGGTTGGGGGTAAGATCCCAGTCTGGGCACATATAAGAACCAACCAATGAATGCATAAATAAGTGGAACAACAAATCTATGTTTCTCTCCCCCTCCTTTCCTTGCTCTCTAAAATCAATCAATAAATAAGCAAATAAATAAATACATAATCCAGGCATATATTATTTGCTACTGTGCAAAATACTGTCAAATGTTTTATAATTTTACCTTTCAAAAACCCCTATGGGAATTTAAAAAACAGTATTAGTATTCCTATTTTTCAAATGAGAAACTGGGTCTTAGAGAGATGAAGGGACTGACCAGGGTCACATAATCACACAATCATGAAGTGCTGGGCTTGGGGGGGTTTCAAATCCAGTTGTGTTCACCCATATGCCCTCATCTACCTTTCCATGTTGTCTCTGTTGAGAATTTCTGAGACACACACACACACACACACACACACACACACACACACACACACACCACGCTATTTCTGTATTTTAAACAAACGAGCAGGAGCAGCAGCCACCGCCCTTGGAGTTATTTTTTCCTCTTTGTGTGTGTCTTTATTTTACAAGTTTTCTAAAATAAATATGTATCTTTTCTTAAAACAACAGGGAAAATGTTTTAAATGTAGAAACGTAACTGCTAATGATCGCGAACAGCTCAGCGCCCCTTAGCCTGTTTTAGTGGATTCACAGAATTTAATGACACCGCACGTTTCAGAACACCGCTCCTCGGTGCTGCTGGGCTAAACTTGTTCCAACAGATAATTTGTTATTGAATTACTTTGGGAAACGCTATTTGGGGCG